AGCGACATGTGTATAACCATAGCAATATGTTTGTTGGTTCACAAACTGCATATCATCTTTCACGTACATCCATCCATCAAGAGTACATTGTGGTCTGATTTTAATATATTACACTATTTGGAAATTGTCACAAATTTCATAACAAAACACATAAATTACTACGCATGCGTAGTAATTTATGTATTTTGAAAATGCGGAGAGCAAGAATGCATCACTGTTCTTCTGAGATCTACTCATAAGTGAATATACCTAGAATTTACGCACAATTCAAAGTACGGTGATTATTACTACTAGTATTATACTCAGTTAACCGTACCTAGTAATAACCGAGTATGCTTTCACTCGGAAGATTACAATGAATTCCAGCGGTTTCCGATAGAACGGTGTTCAGTGATGCGAGGCCCCTGAGACGTATCCTCTTCCACTACAAGCCGCGGATTGATACTAACAAGCAATGAATCCGCCACAACTTGAGATTGCTCCTACCGGTCATTGATATCAACAATAAGTAGCAGTGAATAGTACAGATGCGATAACGATGTTAACACCTGAACAAATAAAATGAGCTTTTCATCTTATCCCGCTAAGTGCAGTGAGTGAGATGGGGAAATTATTTGCATACTGCGTGAAACATATAATTTTTTTTTAGCAAATTAGTGAAATGTAGCTACTCTGTAATCTAGCTTATTCAAAGTGCAACTGATTTAATAGCAAAGTATATTCTGACAATAATTTTGTTGTCCCGTTAGCTAGATTGAAGATTATGTTCTAGTAAATCATGTGTTGAAAACTCGTCAAATTTGCTAATGGCGTGTTATTTCATATTGCTATACTGTTTTCTCGTGAATTAATCTACCATATGTTGGCGGAGATCAAGTTGATCATCGCAGCAATTAAAAAGCTACGAAACACCCACGTGAATTTTAACTGATGCAAAAAAAAAAACATCATCATACGTGTCGTCATCTCTCCTGCAATGTTTACGTCTGTATTTTAGTCGTTCCCACGCCTTGTCGACTGAAAACTGGAACCCATCCGCTACGTTTTACCTCATCCACCGATCAAATAGGATTACTTTTCCAGGTGATAACAAATGACCTACTACCGATTTTACGACTACTCGTTTGCATCCATTTGTTCATGACATGTGATCTATTCTGACTGGCAGGGGATGAACTCATTGACTCGTTTTCCCCCATTGGTATTTCTTCCCATCCATACTGTTTACATCAGACGTGACGACTCCACTCAATGAGTGCTAAAGGTGGTCGATCTTTAGATTCTCAGTTTCCGTCGGCAATTTAAGTTAATTGCTTAGGATGTAACAACTAACACCGTGTTATTCTTAAGTGACTGTGGAACGCATGCCAGTTTAGTGTAACTGTCGTTGTAAATTCGGGAATCTACCATGATGCATTGCATTCAGAGAGTATAATGACATAATAAAGTTGAAATAAAAACGAAAGAACTTGTCTTACATAATTTTCATATATTTTCGAATTTTGTAAGCGTGTTGCGTAAATTTATATTCCAGTATAAACCTAGATCGCATGGAACGAGGTGAGATATATTAAAGGGTCAAATCAATCCGACATTCAGGAACAACTCGTTCTAACAGAATTTGACAGCTTTCGAATTTCAGCTGTGGTGTACTTACAGACTTCTTTGTGTGAAGGATTCATGTTCTACGCATAACACTCCGCAGGTGCATGTGGAGATTCATTTGTGCCAATGCCGACAATGTTTACGGCTATATGGACCCACACGAGTGAACTAAACAAGTAATCACAGCTGTAATCCGAGAATTAGAAAATGTACTCGTACTCGTATATCTTAAGAAGCCAGACATACCGACACAGTCATACGTAATGAGTAAACGGTCATTTATTTGCGTTGATGTTATCAGATGTTATCGTGGGAGACGAATAAGTGAAATAGCAAATCCCGGGTGGGAGCACGAGAAGCTCGTCATTACATGAAATCAGTTGTGTTGGTGTCTAATTGAACTATATATACTGTGTTCAACGTTAACTGGATTTGTTCTCACAATGCCCGTCGCATCAAAACGTCACAGTTGTCAAAACGTGTAGTGTTATATGTGGGTTCCACAAACGATGTATGTAATGTGAGTAACATAAACAAGATTCAAGCGCAATCCGTGTGGATTTGTTACCCTTTTTGGGTTGGAAATTGACCTATATCCCATATTTGGAGCATATTTCTTCATCGTTTTTTGTTTGAAATGCATTATAAAATGAAACCGCAGTGTAAGATTCAAGAGAATATGGTGATCATTTTGAATAGTAGCAACTACCTTTACTAGTCTCGAAGTGTGTTTGATATAACTTTTAATAATATAATCAATTAAATGGCTTTAAAATTGTTACTATATCTAGTGTGATAACAAATACATGTACTCCGATAACATATTAAATGGCTGTATCGCTGTAATACAGAACCAAATGACCTCTGTGGCACGGAATAAGTAAACACGTGGCGATAAAATGTTAGTCAACCAAAATATCCATTTTCTTACAAAAGTCATAAGTATATACTATGTCACATGACATATAACGTGTTTACTCATTCGATGCCACAAAAGTAATTCTGGCTCAGTGTCAGTCGCATATATATATATATAAACTTTAAGTTTAAGCATGTGTGAAATATAGTTCTGTGAAAGTGTATTCCTTTAAACAGCCATTTTTTGCATATATCCGATATAATGTCTGATGTATGGGTAAAGTTTGAACTTGATCGGTTTAGACATGTCGGATATGTGGATCCGACACTGCATTCTTTGAACTAAAATGGTCGCCAGTCGGCCAGTCGGTCATTTTGAACCCAGTTCTAAAAATAAAATGATGTGCATCAAGGTCCCATTCAATCTGATTAAAATAAGATCCTAGTTTTGGCTCTTTTTTTGTATATATATTTTATTTTGATCTAGTATTTATTTTTTGAAGTTTTGGTGATTGGGAAAGCCAACAAAGAGATGTATGTAGGGCGGAATTAAAAAAAAAAATCACCAAATCAAAATCAAAGAAAAATAACAAAATAAAAAGGCATTAATAACAAAAGTAATAAAAAATAAAATTAAAATAAGTTTATAGCCAAAATAATTAAAACCCGTACACTACATAAGATTTTAATCAGATTTGGTTCCATTATGTTAAATATATTTACCAAGCCGAAATCAAAACCATCCACACACGACTAACATCCGGTTCCGGAATTGTGAAAGTGTTATGTTCTAATGTGTTGATAACTAAAAGTTGGGTTTACTGATCACTGTTTACTGTTCACAACGTTTAATCTCTGATCCCTACATTTAATAACTCAACGTCGTATTGGTTGTCATCAGGACAATACCCCCCCCCCCTGGTGGTTTCACTTTACTGCATTCCGTTCGTTTATTTGTGCAGTGTATATATATGCCGCGTATGTTTTGTTCTAAAACAACGCGAAACAAGAAACACCAGTATTCGTTTTAACCCAAACAATAATATTAATAACCGGAATTACTCTGCCGTAACGGAGAACTGGGTTCAATGGCGTGTCGAGTAGTGTAACTACATTGCGATAATGACACTGTAGTTAGAAGGAGTGACCCGAGCAGAGCGTCATTTACTGGTATGTCGGACCTTCTGAGACTAGATCGCGTTCGCAGGGCACATTACAATTGCGTATTATGCTTCTGTTGATATTTCTGCGCCTTCTTTCGTGTATCCGACATCGATATCCGTATTTGAAAAAAAGTACAATGTACAGAACGACACCTCCCCCAAGCCTTCCCATCACATCAGTGAGTCGAAGCTAACGAATATACTGTAAAACACGTCTTTTTCGCGAGCATGTCTTTTTCGCAAATTTAGTGAGAGAACTGATTCGCTAATTTAAAATGTTGCTAATGACTTTATTGTCAATTCAAAATGGCCGCCAAACAAAGAAATCAACAATGACAAGAGAGATTCGCTAAATCAACATTTCGCTATTACGTCATTTTACCACAATTCGCTAAAATTGCATGCCGCTTTTTCAACATGTTTTACAGTATATCATAGTAGTTGCTCCGCAAATTTAGCAAACTCATATATATTATCACATGTTGTGCATGCATTACGCTTACCAGTATTTTAATTCTGTTAATAACACGTCACCATGTTGGCGGAAACACTCCTCCTTGTACATATCACAGACAACTAATAAAGTTTATTAGTTCTCTGAGTTCATATCTACTTTGCTATAAGTCGTAAAATCGCATGACTAGGACAACACATTACGAAGGGGCACTGTTTCACCATAATTATATTTCCAAGTGATTTTTAGCAAATCTAGTGGCGCATTCAACTGTGGAAATACGCAAAGATGGCGAATGTCCCGCTTATATTTCATAACAGATATATAAAACATTGCCTCTGTGTGAGTTTATTTAATCATTTGAATATATTTATTTAAATGTATTTACTAGTATTTAAATTTATTTATTTATTTATTTATTTATTTATTTATTTATTTATTTATTTATTTATTTATTTATGTATGTATTTATTTATTCATTTATTTATTTATTTATTTATTTATTTATTTGTTTATTTATTTATTTATTTATTTGGCAGCTTGATAACAACTGTGATGTTTGTGTTCGGGTAATATACAACTACGAATATATTTTCAATATGCCATGTAATACATTCGTATTGAGTATAAGCATCCATCCATGTCTTGTATGAATGAGGTATCTGGTCTGACTAGTACATGTGTTCCCAGGTTGTGTTTGTCGTCCTTATTCGAACTCGTGTAAAAGAAATCGCATATCTTGTTGTAACGACATAGTCATCTGAATGTTTGATCCTAACCATAATTAATCCCGGTCACGTGGTATGGGTCAGATATCTTACATACTAGTAGTAGGGTCAGTGACTCTCGATGAAAACATCTCGGCAATTTCACCATGACAGTTATTGTATTCACTGGATTCATTCTTCTTTTTTATGCAGTATCATTACACATTTGGACATCTGTTGTCGTCCGACACCGAGGTCATGGGTCATCCATTTCTCAGCATTCCAACGTCTGGTGAAGTACCACACAAACAAACAGGTCAGTGTCCACGTGACCTGTTTTAAAAAGAAAATTTAATTAGTGTGTATTCGATAATAATAATGGACGTGTGTATACAGTAGCATCGCTCAGAATTATCAGATTATCCGATCATTTCAGACATAGTAATAAATCTAAACATAAATACAATTTATGTACACAATTGACATCTTCAAAGGCGAGAATAGACTAGAAGCTGTGTATACTAAAATAGCGATGGGGATAAACGAAATGCTCTATTCTGTTTTATTTTTTCTAGTCTAGTCTAGTCTACTTTTCGCTATACTTGTGTAAAGTGTGTGATAGTCTGGACACTCCTAAATTAATAAAACACTACGTGCGCATACAGTATTCTGTGGTGGCTGGTTTGTGTAAGCGAAACGAAATTATTTAGTGACACGTGTGTTCTATTTTCCCATCCAATAAAGTCTTGCATAATAGCAATTGACGATCTAAAGTGGTTTTTGAAAGCTTCTCAGAAATCGATCTTCACCTAACTTAAGATAATTTGTTATGACCTACCAGCTGTACTGTGTTATAACTATTACAAGTCCATGCTCCATGAATGCGGAGCAGGCACGTCTGCAGTCGTGGTTACGTCAATGTTTCCATTGGGTGGGGATAATGCGAATGGGTTTGACATAAGACCCAAACATAAAAGCCGCCGGTGAGTTTATATACAGAAAACAGAATACAGAAACGAGAGAAACGTCTATCGATTAATACCAAGAGAATTTGTTCCCTTTTCATTTGTATACATCGGGGTGATCTGGAAAGCCTGGCGAGTGTTTGCCAAACATCGCGAGCTGACCTCGGTGCATTCCAGGCCAGCTAGCACTGCAAATTGATTCATGCATATCATATATATATTTTTATATTCTATGACGTGTTATAATTTATTCGTATCGAATATATTAAAGCGGGGGAGTCGTCACCTGCGCATGCGTCAGATGGCCATAGCGCGTCATTGTTTACAAACTTCAAGGGTTTGTATACAATTTGCGTTTTTAGCATGTGTTGTTATCGTCGCTTGGGACAGGTCGCACGTGCACAGGTGACGACTCTTTCGCTTTAATGTGTCCAAACGCAATATGGTTATAGGGGGTTGATACTCCTTATTTTCGCATCGTCCCTTTTCAATTCCTCGCTAATTAGTGTTGTATTTCCCAGACTTTCAGGTGACGTTTCCATGTACCAACAAGGTCAAAGGTTATGCTGTTGCCACAGTAACTGTGACAATTGATGACCTAAGGCTGGGTAAAGAAATAAAAGCCTCACCACTGAAAGTGAAGTTCAGAAAACAATGTGATAAAGGTTCGTATATAACGTCAGGGCAGTCCTTATTTCTTGACAAATGTCTTTTATAGCCAATGGAATCATTGTCTTTTGGGGGTTTGAATGAATCCGGGGACTTTCGGAACAAATGTTTTATATATTATATATTATTTTGTTTGTTTCGGGGATTATTTGTCATCATACGTTGAAAACGCTGTTTTAGTAATGTGCACAATAGTTTTCTGAATGAATAATGGACTACAAATTGAATTAATGGTACGTACTTTGCTTAATCGTTGATGTGGTAACGTCACGGTCTGTCACAATTTTAAAGGGCGGTGGTCGTCGCATGGCGCACTGTTCTATATGGGACACATTGCGACGCGCACAACGGTGTAAAATACGTTGATTGTTTAAATGAAATTCGAACACGCGCTGTGCGACGACCACCGTCCTTTAATTATTAAAACACAGTGATGACTTCAACGCAGTCGTTGGTGGAGGGGGGGGGTAAGAGTGATTCAGAGCAATGATAATATATATGGATTGTTCATTTCCCGACACTCACCACTCAAGGGGGATTATTCAAAACTAACGAGATATAAACATGAACTAGCCTCTCTTTTGACGAAAAGTAGTATTTAAGAGAACTAGTTGTTTACAATTAAGACAGGAAAATACGAGGAAGCAAATTACTAAGTATCTATCTCGAGTCTGGTTTCTGACTCTGCAAAAAAATTTAAAAAAATATTTTAGTCCTATTTTCTGTGATGAACTATGTGACGGGATTCGCTGTAGCAATAAGAATATATGGAACTCGCCAAACCGGCTTATATTCCTGTAGTTAGTTACCCATCCTGCTGAACTGTGATATTATCTGCAATTGTAGTCTAACATCATTACTTGTATCGACTATTTTAGTGCCAACGCCAGAGTGTTCATGTGAGAACGGAGGCTTCTGTGACGAACACGGTATATGTGACTGCCCTGATGGTTTCTTTGGACCCGCTTGTAAACAAGGCAAGTCTGCAATTTATCATTGATTCTCGAAACAAAGAACGTCTTTATTAATATTCCTAGAGGGCGCATAACCCTTGATTCATATCTCAGGCGGAATATGTCGCATGGAGATACTGGCCAGTATGCCATAGCTGGGGAGACATATGCCACAATTTGGATTTGGTTGTGGAGGAGAATTGAAAACTTTTTTTTCTATATACAGTTGTAAAACAAACGGAGGCAAACTGCGGGAGTCTTAACTCTCTAATGGGAAGGACAACGCCGCGGATAGGCATAAGCGGTCGGATATTTGGTAACTGTTATCCCAACTAACTTGTCAAGATAGCTTGCCGTTTCGGACAATGCATTTAATCAATGATATATGAAAAAGTGTAAAGTTTCTCCGGCCCGTATCCGGCATATACTACTAGTATTCAAACAAATGCGTTTGAGGGCAGCATGTATAAGCCGGAAGCCAGTGATCATTACTACCGTGACAGCCGAAGTCTGATACGGACTGTATAAACACCACGGCAGAATCTACTGTTCAATCATGATGAAAATACTAATATATATGCGTCTTCTGTGGTCAGTCTCGTGGTCCTCGGAATCCGCATAGATCTGAGTTATATCTGTGTTATATCATGGAGGTACCTCTATGGTTATATCATGGACGTACTAGACCAAATTAAGATTGTTTGCAAGAGTTCGTATAAAAACCCGTGCACAGTCTCGTTTTTTACATGATACAGTGGTTGATTTTTATCTATATTCGTTTTCTTTAATATTTTCGCAGCTCTGTGTAGTCCGCGTTGTTTTAATGGAGGGACGTGTATTGCTCCTGGGATATGCGTCTGTGCCGATGACTTCACTGGTAGAAGTTGTGAGAAAGGTGTGTTAATCTAATCATTAAGAGATGTGTGAACAGTATTACAAATTGTATCAGCCCGGCCGATAATCTAATTTTTTCGTTCTTATTTTCATTGACAGCTTTATGTACAAACTCATGCGGTCGACATGGTCGTTGTGTGGCACCAGAAACGTGTGAATGCCACAAACACTGGTCCGGACAGTACTGTGAGAAAAGTTAGTATAGCCCAGCAAAAAACAAACAGCGTTCATGATTATTCTATCGAGTTCATAATAGAATTATCGAGTGTTATTATAGATTCGTGATTGTTTTAAAAAAATATATATTTTCGCCCCAGGAAAGTGTTTCGTCATAAGAGGGCGCTTATTTGCTTATCATCGCTGGCCATTCACTTGTTGTTGTATTCAAATTATTTCTAGAATTGGCTAACGTACTGCACGACATATTCCGCACCAGCAGCAAACGAATGAAGAAACACCGTGGTCGTGACAACGAGAGTAAACACATCCATGACAATAAGAAAGCCGGCAAGCGTCGTGGTGGACGACGTGGCTGAGATTCCACCCAGGGATTGCACGCACTGTCTAATATTTGGTTGATAATATGCCATTTATAAAACAAGAACAAAATATCTTGTCAGGTTTTTTGAAATATACTTTTTTTATATATAAAACATTCTTTTCTGTCTAAGATTGTTAACTCTGTGAACCCATTTAAAATATAACTTATACAGCTTGCGGCTGTCACAGCCTACACTGATGCTGCTTCGCGCAACGTCCTCGTCCGAATCGAACGGTTTCGCTGAAGCCGGCCATTTATAGCCGACTTACGAATGTAGAAGCCGAATAAATGGTCCTTGGCTGGCGAAGATGACAGCTTCGAGATTTGGACTGTTTCAACGTCGTCGAGGGCGCTGGTTACACGTCTCCAAATATTATTACTCAGCAGTTCAGGCAGTGACTACGGAATATACCACTGATGTCACGTGAGCACGCAACACCTTTTGAAAATAACGTCATCCCCTCTCTACGCCATAACAAGTTCAGTTTAATAGTAATCATTTAAAAAACAAATAGCCTTTAGAACCTGTGTAGCATAACTTTTCACATATCAAATCATTTTTTTTCTCCTTTAACTATGTTCATTCTAAAAAAGAACTGTGTAATAGTACCAAATATGTGCTAAAATAATATTTCAGAATTATGGTATAGAAAATGCACTTTTCACAATGTGAACTGCATGGCGCACTCTAGGGACAGATCATTCAAACTTTAATCCCAGCTAGCGATACACATCCATCAGCTCTGCGATTGCTTCACTCATTCAATGTCTCTCTACAATTGCCCAATTCTGCTTTACGATGCATTTTGTTGGTGTAGATTTTCTTTACTCAAATGTTAATTTATCATATGCCAGCACATATGTGAAAGAGTACAATTGGGGGGAAACTAGTTGTCAAATGTAAAGTGTTTTTTTTTACATTTGATTTCTAATTTATGTTCTAAACTGCATTATATTACTTATTATATAGCTTTAATCATCAGTAGTTATACAACCACATCAAATAGTAGTTTTATGACATTTTAAAAGTGGTTGGAGGGGGGGGCACAGAATCATGATTACGTTTAAGCCAGTAAAATATGGGGAAAGAGATCAGTAATTAATTAAGGGAGAAATAATTAAGCTGTTAAATAATTATTATTGGTTCTTTATTGGTTCACAAAATAAACTCAAATAAATTCTTGCTAGTATTGCGTACTGTATTTATTTCAAAAGAACCCACAATGATTTATATAATATGCCCAATGGCATTGCTTATTCCAATCTCAGTATTTTATTTCACAATTCACCAAGTATTACCATGTTCAATACATTGAAATTGCCATTGAAATTGGTATGCCTGTGAAGGCTTTCTGCAGGAGATGTTTTATATTTTCAACTGTCTGTTGATACTCATACAATGCAATAAAATACTGCATCTTGCTCCCAATTCTGGATTTCTTCAGTACATAAAATTTGGTGTTGTACAATATGAAACAAGATATGTTTTGCTGGTAGGAATTGTAAAGATACTGTAGAGAATGTAACAATCAGAGTTGTGTTTTTCTCACCTTGAAAACCATCAACCAAAAAATAATATATTATTATATTGTAAGGCAAAAAACAAATAACAAACCTGCACATACCATTAAGAATATTTTACACATGCATCTTTGGTATGCATGATAGAGTTGTACGCCATCAAGTGGTATCTTTTTTCCTTTCTTTTGTTTTACATTTTCCTTTATTTTTTTTGAAATATACAAAAAAAAATATGTGAGCATCCCATTTTAAAATGGTACGTGTCAGTTTTTTTGCCTAATACTAGCATGAGTTGTGTTATTTGAAGTCCCATGAAGAAATTTGTAACACATGTTCATATTATACCACCTCCACCTCCCCAGCCTCCTCCAAATGGATTTCTATAGTTCGGTACTCTTCCAGAACCTCTTGAATCTCTGAGCCCTCCTCCTCGTCCGGGAACAAATGGCTGATTGGGAAGTGGGTTCAATGGATCGAATCGTGGACCATGGAATCCTGGTAAACGAGGACGGAAGGGGTTCATTGGATTTTCTGGAAATGCAGAATTGAATGGATCCAAGTCGTAGTCACCACCACTGAAAAAGAGAATTTAAATAAAGAATTATAATAAATATAAATATAAATATAAATACTGTAATTGTACTATTAGAAGAACATACAAATCAAAAGTTCTATTTACTGTGTATTGGATTATTAAGGTAGCAGGATAGTCTTTTTTTTTCAAATTAAATAAAAAACACTGTCACATATATATTTTGTTTAAAGAAAAAAAAAAGAAAAGCCTGTTTCCTTTTTCATAACAAGTGCACAAGTTTGTGTTTACTCATGGTACGTCATGTATTATAAAATACTTCTTCATTATTATTTACCCGATATGACCGTTAGACATAATTACAACAAGCACAAGTAGGTGTGAAGAATGATCAGCTCCTATGTTTTGTTTTCTTTTAATTACAAACAAAACTTCAGATCTTCCTTTCATGGCAATGTTTCAAATTATTAATTCATCATTAATTTAACAGACTGTGAGGTTCACAAATATGTCATTTTCTCCATTTTAAATTCTGAACATCTTTGGTTTGCTAAAATCCAAATAGCAACTTGATGAGTGGCACTACAATATCGCTGTTTGGTTTGTATGGTTGTAAAAATATTAGCTTTCAAGTTGTAATTTCATTTTGTAAGAATGTGTCATCTGTATTTCTAAAAATGTATATGTAGGATTGGTTTGGCCATTATTGTTCTGGTTACAGCTGTCAATATTTTTCTAGAAAAAAAGACTATCCTACTACCTTAAAATATGACTAAATTTGGTATTAAATTAAATGCTGTTATTTATTTGAACTCACATGCTACTTCACATTATTGAAATACATTCTATGGTGTTTGAGAATTGCTGTAAACTACAGGATTCACCCATATACCGAATTAAAGTGGACAACAATAATTCAGAATCCATGCACATCAGAGCACAATACAAAATCACTAGCAAATTCTTGTAAACAAAAAATGGAATGCCAAATATTTGCAATTTGAACATTTATGACATAAGCCTGCAATTTACAACATAGTCAACAACAATACTCCTCAATGTATCATGAATGAAACTTCAATTTACTTTAATCTGTTTACATGACTGATTTGATTCTTACTCTCTACTATCTCCAACAGTTCTCTTTTCATTTTATGGAAGTTAAAATTGTGCGAACACTTTTATACATAATGTAAACTGCAAATTTTCATTACTAGAAATTCTCACGATTTTATGACATTCAAAGACACATACATGTATATGAAATTTGTGAACCTGGTCTCCCACAGAATTAAAAGTTTACAGCTGTCTTAAAATTATCTCAGGACATTTTGTCCAAAATGACAACAAGCATCATTAAACATTTATGATCATTTGCCATATTTTGGGTGTAAAGTAGTAACTCCAACAGAAAAAAATTAGCCCCTTTGTCTGAAATCACTGAACAAAATTATGACATTTTGAAAAAAAACAAAACTATAAGCAAATTGCTGATGATCTGAATCACTGCACTACACAATATATATTGTTTTTTAAAACCAATGATGAATTTAAATAATTTTTGAATACATATGTACTTACACAAATCCAGGAGGATATACAGGAGGCATTGGTTGGGGATATGGTTGAAAAACTCCATGGAATGGTAAGACAGGATGGGGCACCATTCTTTGATGTTGCATTTCTTTTTTTTCTTTATACTTAGCAATGTAAAGCTGCATAAGAGCAAATGAAAAAAGAAGATATTCAATGAAAAATTATTATATTTAAATTTACTGTCAGTTCATTAGCAGGACTGAGAACCTTAGCACATCACCCACTAAAAAGCATCTAAGTTTAGCCGAAATAAATGGGGAAAAAATGTATTGGTAGACCATGTGTAAGATTGTAAGCAAAATGTACAACTTCTTCCTGCCACACAGTCACATACAATTATTTTTTTTTGACTTACCTCCCCAGCAGTCAACAAACTGAATCAACTTGATTTTGGGGGATTTAATTGACCTGGTTCAATACAAAATCAGTCATCTTAGAAAGCACACTGGTAGGCACTTGTATTAACCCACAAGATTCCTAGATTTTAGAAAGCTCAAATCAACTCATAGAAAGTATTAATATAAATATTGCATGCCTACCCTTTTCCAGTTTGCATTTTGCTGATGGCATTTACCAAAGTCTCTAAGACACAATCTTCTCCATAGTGAGGCATCATTAGCAATAATACATAGATGTTTACAGACAGTGGAGACAGCAATTAAACTTTGTACATCAAGTAAGCTTAATATCTTCAACTGAGAAGAGAATAAATATAAATAATCTAAGTACAGATATTTAAAAAAAAAACTTACAAAGCAACCCCAACCCCAAAACCCAACCCATCAAACGTGGTTATTTTACTTTTGAAAGCTAAAATTTAATTATATTATGCTTTTCACAAAACTGCCATAATATTCAAATGGAATAATATTGCGAGGAATAAGTAAAAAACACTCATTTGAAACTTAATGTTTTTTCAAATTTCATTTGTTAACACTTTTGTATTATGCTACAGGAAGCCTATTTTTGGTTTAGACTAGGCAGATTAGACTAACAAAAATAATTTGCATACTCTTTATAAAAAATATACTTCTAAGACTTGCTTTAATGCATTGACTCTGAGATTCATCATTGTTCTAAAATACTGTGACTTGCAGTAAGGGCGAATTCAGAATTGTAATTGGATATTACAGAGTATGACATGATGGGAGTGTGTACAAATCCTTTGCAATCTGAGTAGTCACTTGGTTGGTGTGGCTTGTTAGCTTTTGTAAATATCTGGTAATGTTGAAT